TTAAGATCATGATTAAAGTTGCTATGGTCAAGTGCGTTTTGGTATGCAGGTGCAGATTCTATAAATGTTTGCTCATCTGATGAAAGCATTGCAATGCGCTTGTTAACTGATGTAGGAAGCTGCCTCATAATCATGATCTTAACTACACTCAACACGCACCACAGCAAGCACGCAGAAATAGGCAACGTAATATCATTTGGTTCAACCCACCATTTAGCATGAATGTCAGCACTAATATAGGGCGTAATTTTCTTAACCTTATCGACAAGCACTTTCCTTCACACCACAAGCTGCATAAGATCTTTAATAGAAATACAGTAAAAGTAAGTTATAGCTGCATGAGCAATGTTAAGTCTATAATCACCAAGCACAATGCACATATAGCTAGGAAGAACAAGGCACAGGGCAAGGGCACTGTCAATTGCAGTTGTTCGAAAAACGCAATATGCCCACTTCAGAAACAATGCATGACTAAGGACACAGTATACAAAGCAACAGTCACAACAAGCAACCCTAACACGATCATGAATTATATTGGCATGACATCAACTACATTTAAAGAGCGTTTGGCTAACCATAACTATACTTTCGAGCATAAAGAGCAATCAAACAAAACTGAACTTTCGAAATATATTTGGACATTGAAAGATAGCAAGAAAGATTTTAATATCAATTGGCAAATTTTGAAACGCGCTATTTCGTATACGGGAGGATGAAAACGATGTAATTTATGTTTGGAGGAAAAATTTTGTATTTTGAAAGAAAACCAAAACCGTTTACTCAATAAAAGAATGGAAATTATATCTACGTGCAGACATAGGAAGAAATTTCGCGTAAACAACGCAAACAATTAATACACTCCCACAATTCGATTAGGCATTTCCGCGTAAACAACGCATACAATAGATGAATGCATGATTTGTTTCACCAACACACTCCCACGTTCCGGCCAAAACACATATAAGCAGCCCTATTTTGCGAAACTTGTCATACCGCCTGATGATTATTTACTGATGAAACAGACTGTTGCGGAATTTTGAGGTAAGCGAAATTCTACATTTGCTCTAACTTTATGATATTGAGCACTCTTTGCGTTTCGTATACACAAACCTATTCGTATATATATATATATATATATATATATATATATATATATATATATATATATATATATATATATATATACTGTTGCGGAATTTTGAGGTAAGCGAAATTCTACATTTGCTCTAACTTTATGATATTGAGCACTCTTTGCGTTTCGTATACACAAACCTATTCGTATATATATATATATATATATATATATATATATATATATATATATATATATATATATAATTTTAGTATTTATAATAGATTTATAACCGTTCCAGTGTAACTTGTGCTTGTAACAAACATGACGTCAAAAATTAGCGGACATATTAACACTCATTTACATATCAAGCAAATTGAAATATCTCGGGAACAAACCATAAAAACAAGAAACTGAAAAATAAGTTACACTACAGCTTAAAGAGTTCTTTCATTTAAGAAAATGAAAGAACTCTAAGATTTAAGAAATTTCATGTCATATGCATGCACTTTAAAAAGGGCGTCCAATTTACAAAACGTGAGACAAAAGTGAACTGTGCCACCATGCTTTTTTACTTACAACCGCTGTGAAATTCGACGTCAATTAGAATATTCTTTTCTAACATATTTATATATTTTAGGCAAATTTATTGAATTTATTCTTTATTAATCATTTAATAGTAAGTTTTTGAAACAACATTTTAACTAATTATGTTTTGTGTATATACAGCAGTTACAATTTATGGAACCTCTCTGCGGAAGCAACTGTGGAATAAGCACAAGGAGAATTCTTGCGAAAGTTGGCAGTAATAATCTGTGGTCTAATATTACAGTCCGAAAGGAAAAAAGTCAAAACTGCCTTTCAAAGACCTTACAATTTGCAGGATTTTGATAAGTAAGTATTTGTTTTAATTTGTCTTTCATAATTTCTTCAGTCATGGACAGTGGCGGAAACTAGCTTTCATTTTGAAAAATGTAACATGCGGGCCACATGTTATACCTGGCCAATAAGGAGCTCCCTTAGCCGGACGACGTCAAAAATCACGCGTATACTGTAGGTGCACTTTACCTATAGAATCGATTTCTGGCATTTCCAGAGTCATATACGATAGAAACGTCGCGTTGTTTTGACGTTGTGAAATTGTATTTACGGTTGGGACTAGCTCACAGTCGGACTAGAAATGGAAATACCGTGATAATGATGCCGAAGATATAGGCGAAATGTGCTCTATGTGCTTTCTAAAGTTCAGCAAAACGTCTAGATACATTATTGTTTACAACTTCGCTGCCAGCGGACATTGTGGGTGTAAATCTTTGACAAACTGTGATTTAAGCGGGTTGTATTTATGTCATGGGTCAAATATAGGCTTATGCAGCCATCGCTTTTTATACAGGTAAAGTATTTATGCCTGCGTCTTGGAAGACAAATAAATTAAATCTCTATTTCATCTTTAACTCTTAGAAGCTTGCAGAAGAGCGCACAAGAAGGCTAATATGACGTCGATGTCGAGTGGCAAATTGCAGAATTTCTGAAGTGTGCACCAAACAAGCCAGGAGGCACACGATACAAGTTAAATATTAAATAATTCACTGTAATCCAACTGACACGCCGAGAGGGAACCTTTCTAAACAAGTTCTTTTTTTCAGGACCGTGAAAGTCACAAAGATTAGTTATTCATTACAGAATTTATATTATTCTATGACTATATGTTCTCCCTATAATATTAAATCTAACGTTACGATATGTAATTTTTTAATGAAGTTATTTGCATGATGAAACTTAGATAATTATTAGATTATTAAAGTTTGTTCACGTTTAAAAACTTGTTTGATTGATGTTTTACTGTCCCATATATAGCGTATATATGGTCTGGATGTTTTCTAAATATAAGTTCTTTCATTGCAGTCTGAGATGGGCAGGTACAAAAGTCGGATTGCATTGTCGTACTGCACCCGGATCGAACCCTAACTCGGATATTAAGCCCACTTCTGGTTTTGGTTACCGTAGCCTCGGGGTTAAGGTCGAGTCCGATCCGCATAGCGATCCGATTCGACTGCCTAAGATATTTAAAATTGAATTGCATTCCTAAATACTGGTAGAATTCTGTGTGCCTCGGCCTTTTACAACATAATTCCATAGGATTTTTTATGCGAGCAGCGGTTGTATGGTTGGAACGAAGCATTCTTTTTAGTTTTACACTTGAAAATGAACAATATTATTACGACGCCGAAATTATCCGTTCATATTCACATTTTGCAACGTTTGAGCAAACGTTCTATAGGCAGGTTGTATAAACTTCGAGGAAACGTTCTGTGAACGTTGCATGAACGTTCAGCGCAACGTTATTCACAACGTTTTTCGTTTGTTTCTGGGAGTTCACAAAATAACGTTGCCACAACGTCCATCACAACGTTCTTTTCACCTTATTTCAACGTTTGTACTACGTTGTGACAACGTAATTTTGCTAGCTGGGATTAGCACATAATTTCAATATCTTATTACCGATACCATCGCAACACAAGCCTTAAGCCTAGTTCTCATTCATCGCAAACCGTCGGCGATGAGAGCTTTGCGACGTCGTCGATCGCCTGCGATTTATGACAACACATCAAAAATTATATCGCCCATTGTCCGTGATCGTCGTCGACCATCGGAGATGACATCGCAGGAAACAAAAAAGTTTGTTTCTTGCGACCATCGCCGATCATCGCCGACTGCCACCTGCTTGAAAAATCTACGAGAAATGAGTAAAAGTTGTTTTTCCTCAACAAGCAAGGAAATAATTAACTGAAGTTTGACAGAATAATTAACTGAAGTTTGACTTGAGTTCAGTCGTAGCGAGAGGAAGTCCATTTGTAGCTCCGCTAATTTTATAAAATTTAAAAAACTTTTGATATTGATGATCTTGAACTAACTAGTACTGTAACTGTAACTTGAAGTTAAATCGAACTCGAAGCTAGACTAAAGCAACGACATTGTTCAGCGTCACCGACGGCATTGATCTCGAAGCAAGACTAAAGCAAGAACGACATTGTTCAGATTCACCGACGGCATTGATCTACAAAAAGTTATAATGGCTTCTCTCGGTGGTAAACAACTAAGCCAATTTCGTGTTGTCGATCTCAAAACAGAGCTGGAAAAAAGAGGGCTAGATAATTCTGGACTGAAGGGAGCGCTAATTGAGCGACTTGAGAAATCATTGCTGGATTACTCTGCAGAGATAAGCGAATGTGTTTTCTCCACAGAGCAGGGTGACGAAGCGAATAAGACGGCAGAATCAGAAGCTACACAAACACCAAATAGCAACCTGGACGCAATTAATAAGCAGTCGTTGCAAATGAAAACAGCAGGAAAACTGTTAGAACAGTCTATCGAAATCAATACTGCAACTAAAGAAACTAATTGCAAGGAAACCATGACTGAATTCAATCCTGTACCTAACAAGGTCGACTAAATTGGAATACTCCATCGCAGAATTAATAACATAGAAGATAGTTTAAGGCGAGAAATTTTAAATATTGTTGTTGAAATAAACGCCATACCCAGACATGAATACTCGAGGGACTACGCTTTGTTGCTTACTAAACAAAAGGAGGATCTCACTAACTATAATACATGTCTCAAACAAGAAAACGATGAGCTTAGAGATCGACTGAATACCATGTCACTGGCTTTGTCTGATCTAAATCAAAAAGTTAAAGATACTGAAAACGAGAAGCTTAGTTTAGTAACGGCCCTAAAAATTTTATATCAAGAACAAAAACGTACCCCGCAAGACAAAGACCAAATTCACACTCATGCAAATCTCGGCAAACAGACCAATAATAATGGCGAGCAAACATACTCTACGGTGGGTAAAAATAAAAGGTCTAATATGATTCCATTTAATCCAAAGATAACGTAAGAAGTTATTAACTTAGACTCTACCACACCGGAACAATCTTACAATGTTGTCACACGCAATCGCTACGAAGTACTCGGTAATGGAGAAGACCAATATAATACCGCAGAACAACAAAGTAAAACAACTCAAACGTCCAGGGAGATGCGACCCAAGACTAGCCGAAAAGTTTCTACTAATGAAGACCAAACCAAAGCGTCATCGGAGACTAGTCCCCGTACTTATAATTCGGGCAACCAACCCAGGCGTACAATCAACGTAGCCGTTGCCGGTGACTCAATGTTAAAGTACATAAATCCCTCCAAACTTAGTAAAAGCTTGAAACAAAATGTCCACGTGAAAACCTTCCCTGGAGCAAAGGTTGCGGATATGGAGCACTACATAAAGCCAACACTAGCACACGCTCCTGAGTACCTAGTTCTGCACGTTGGTACAAATGAGTTAAGACAAAAATCTCCTCGCCAAATAGCAACATCGATAACTAAGCTCGGACATGAAATCTATGCGAATATGCCAAATACAAAATTAATCTTATCTGAAGTAATAGTTAGAAATGATGACCCTCAGCTCATGATAAGAGTCAAAGAAGTCAATTCAAAATTATCACAGGTATGTCTAAGCAATAGATGGGATTTGCTAACTCATGGAAACATTTTAGTCAAACATTTAAAGCCATATGGTGTCCACCTGAACAAACAAGGAACTGCAATCTTAGCTAAGAATCTTAGTGATTTTCTAAAACTTAAATATTGACTGCCTGAGTATATGAGTTCCACAGTAGATTGCACGAATAAGGACAATATCGAACCATCTTCAGAAAAGTCTCGATGCAATTCGACCATTCAAAATAATCTTATTTTAAATCCTGAAAATCGAAATGTCAGAGAAATGTGTCATGACCTATTATCACAAACTAGCGAGAATACGTTTTCAAAACTAAAAGGCTTTAGGGTGGGCCACTTGAATATTGTAAGCTTAACCAAACATATTGAGGAGCTTAGGATTTTACTACACAAATAACCTTTTGATATTATAACCTTAAATGAAACAAGACTAGACGATACTATTAATAGGGAAGAGGTTGAGGTCGCAGGCTATGAATTAATATGATCGGATAGAAATCGAAATGGTGGGGGTGTAGCTATCTACTTAAGAGATAATATACCATATGTAGAGCGATCGGAATTACTCACTGACCATGTTGAAGCAGTTTGTATAGAAATTAGGAAACAAAAGACTAAACCATTCCTTGTTTCAACTTGGTACCGGCCACCAGATTCTGATACTATACTATTTGACAGATTTGAAAGTTTTTTACAAAAAGCAGATGATACGGGACAAGATCTGATCATAACCGGTGATTTCAACTGTAATATATCAGCTACTTATGACGGCCCTCATACCTCAAAAATTAAGGACTTAATCGATATATACCAACTACAACAACACATTAAAGATCCGACTAGAGTAACTAAAACCAGTAAAACCTTAATCGATTTAATACTCACGAAAATTGAGGATACAAAAACCATTGACGCAGGAGTCATCCATATTGGGATTAGCGATCATAGCCTTGTCTATATTTGCCGAAAAGTGAGCATCCCAGAGGGAAAGCCCAAAATAATAAAGACAAGGCAATTTAAACATTTCAATGAAGTCCGATTTCAAGATGATTTAAAGCAAGCACTAAACACGCACTTCCATTATTTATATACAGACCCAAATTTAGCTTGGCAAATTTGGAAAGAAGTATTTTTAAATATTTCCGAAAAACACGCGCCGATTAGACGTAGGTAAAAAGGTCAAAAGTGAGTATAAACCTTGGCTAACAAACGAAATTAAAGAATTGTGCTACCGCAGGGATTACCTAAATAATAAAGCAATTAATCTAAATTCCCCTTATTATCACGAAGCATACAAGAGATGCAAAAACAAAGTTGCTAGACTGATAGAGGAAACTAAAACTAATTACTACAATACCAAATTTGCAAACTCCACAAATAGTGCTGACAGCTGGAAAACAATTAACGAATTATTAAACAAAAATTCCAAAACAACGACTCTCAATGCGATTTCTGTGAATAATGAGGTTGTTACAGGAGATAAAAACATTGCTAATGAATTCAACAAATATTTTGCTACCATTGGACCAAATGAAGACATGACGTAATTTTCCCTTAATATCAAATGTTTCTCACACGTTGAAATACGTGACAGTAGGGACAGCTGATTTTAACTTCAAAAGTATTACAAAAGCAAATGTGAAAAGCGTATTAAAGAAATCGAAAGCTACCAAAGCAACAGGCACTGATAATATTTCAATTAAGCTTCTAAAATTAGCAGGTGACTCTATCACAGAACCATTAACATTCATTTTTAATTTGTCTTTATTTACTGGTATTTTCCCTGATGACATGAAATTTGCAAAAGTTACGCCAATCTTTAAAACCGGAAGTAAACTAGATTGCGGAAATTACAGATCAATCTCAGTTCTTTCGGCAGTTCCAAAGATATTCGAAAAGATTGTTTATGAACAACTCACGAAATTCCTGGACGACAATAACATTATTTCAAAACACCAGTCTGGCTTTCGGCCACTGCATTCAACCGAAACGGCACTGCTTCAGTCAACTGACGAATGGCTTTTTAATATGGATAAGGGCTTAATTAATGGAGTTTTGTTTCTGGATTTAAAAAAGGCTTTCGACACAGTCGACCATAAAATTCTTCTTTTAAAACTTAAACGCTATGGAGTAGGTGGGGTTGCATTCTAATGGTTTCAATCCTATCTTCAACAGCGACAACAAATCTGTAAAATTGCAGGCTCTTCATCTAATGCCCAAACGCTACATTGTGGTGTCCCTCAATGATCAAATCTTGGACCATTACTGTTCTTAATTTATATCAATGACCTACCCAATTGCCTTGAAACAACGCATGCCTCGATGTTTGCGGATGACACAAACTTGTCATGTGAAGGTGTTTCATCAGAACAAATTGAGCAAAAACTAAATAACGATCTTAATAATGTTCAAACGTGGCTAACATGTAACAAACTGACATTAAACAAAGAGAAAACTGAATACATGATTATTGGATCACGCCAGAAATTAAATAACCTATTTCGTAATCCGAACATAGTCATTGGAAACCATAGTGTGGAACGAGTTCAGGACAAAAAGTCTTGGGTGTAAAAATTGATAAAGAATTGAAATGGAAAGATCATATCGATGCACAATGTAAGAAAATTTCTAAAAATATAGCCCTCCTAAGGAGGGCGAAAAACTATGGACAAGCTACAAATATGAACAAGCTTGTTAAACTGCAAAAAAGAGCAGCTCGTGTGATAACAGGTTCTAATTATGAGATACGTTCCTCTGACATTTTTAAGAAACTTAATTGGGAACCACTAGAAACCACTCTGAAAAAACGCGAACTTGGGATGACTTTTAAAGCGATTAGAAGTTTCGCACCAGAGTATTTATGTAACCTTTTCACCGCTTCTTTCAACAATGATTATAGCCTTCGAAGTAATAACAGAAATCTCTGTTTAAAAAACCTGAGACGAATTTTATGAAAAATAGTTTCTCTTATCGTGGATCATCGTCATGGAATAAACTACCTATGCAAATATGGGATATAACTACAATCAACTCTCTATTGACTCATTCAAAAGTACTATTAATAGATATTTCAAGTCATAGATTGATGAGTGTTTGCATGATTTATGTCACTATTATAGATATATATGATTTAAAACAATTATTGCATGCTATTTTGTTATTACGATATTAATTAGTTTTTAGTCTGTAGATAGTATACTTTTGTAAATAGATACACGGCCCTATGAAAACCAGGAAACTGATAGGTTACCTTGTTTAAATAAATTTAAATAATAAATAATAATAATAATAATAATAATAATAACTTTACGTTGAACAGGGCCATTTTGTGCCTTGGTGGGAAATTTCGAAACACGTCGGCTGTCATCTGCGACGATTACCGATGTATGAGAACTTTCGTGCATCCGCGATCGGCGAGCATCGGCGATAAGCGTCGCCGATTGTCGGTGAAAGTTTGCGATGAATGAGACCTAGGCTTTACTAGTATCCACGCTTTTCAGTAGGTCGTTAATTTTACACTCAGATGCATAAATACTTGACAAAGTAATAGCAGTTTGAAAATGCAAAATATTTGACCGAAGGATAGCACAACTGTCATCGCTAAGGTTTTGAGCATAGAAATAATCATTAAAAAGTTCAGCTTTTTCTTTAGAACAACAAATATAACCTTGCACCTCAAGAGATTTCACTACGTCCCATCAGCTTTTTGAACTAGTTGAGGAATCTTGCAATCGTTCGTTCAAATTAGAAAAATATTTCTTTTTATTTGAACGAATTAAAGATGTTGTCAAATTTCTTTGCTGCTTGTATCTGTCCCAAGAAGTCCCAGTTCTCTTTTTGACATGAATCTTTAGTAACCTGTTTCTTTTTCTTATGGCTTGCCTAATACTATTGTTCATCCAAGGTTTGTCACGAGGACGTATTGTGACAAATTTATTTCCTAACGTGGTAAGAATATAGATAATTTCTAGATGGCCTACAAGAAATTACGTTCTTTTATAAAGTATTAAGCAAGTTATAGCCATCCTAAAATATCACCCCAATGACTGTTTCCTCCCTTTCTTCGGTTCCTATTGTTATTCTAATTTAAGCGAAATGTGAGCCCACAATAATCTACAACAGCGGAGTATATTCATTTGGTGTTCATGTTACATGAAGTACGAATATACAATCATACAATGTTTATATATTTCACGACAATTTCAACAGACTATAAATTATAAAATATGTATTTTTAATGCACATGCACATTGAGATTCTACAATGAAATATATTACAACTAGAAATACATGCATTCAGCAATTCCTCGCATGTATTTTCCAAACATTGATTTACCATGATGTATTTGTAATTGATTGACACTGAACCTGTGACTGAACGCAGGCTCGCGTTTACGTCAGTGTTGCCAGGCAACACGATAAATTTAATTTTTATAATATTTTTTGAACAACACGCCAAAAATAGTCGAAAAATGATTGCTTTTAACTATATAAAATGAATTTCCGAAATATGTATTGTAGGTATGTTGTTCTGCATTTTGTGAGCTTTGATTTAATGTAAAATTTAACGTGAATCGCTTCGTAAAATGTTTTGAAATGTTCATTTTCGATATTAAACTATAAACTACTTTTTCCGATATAAAACTGTACGGGTTTTTATATAGTTTATAAAGCAAAATAAATTCAAATTGTTGAGTAATTTCAGTTCGGTTTCAAATAAATTTGCTCTCCTTTACATTTTACCTTTTGGCTTTAATTCTTAAAGTATAAACAGGGTAATTTAGCAAACTTTAATACAGCTTCATTGAAAAGGAAAGCAGTGCATGTTTTATGCAATAAATTAAAGCAATCAAATTTTAAAAACATTAAACATTCAAAGCAAACTTGTCCTATATTCCACGATTTTCGACAGTAAATCAATTCTTCTCATTTCTTCAAACAAAAATTGCTTCAAAGCTCATTGTGTGAAACGTGATTTTCCAAATATATGCTTTTGAGAATTGAAATCTTGCTTTTCCCACTCCAGGCAAACAGCCATATTTTTGAGATCAGTGAGGATGACCACCCACGGTTGGTGACCGACGCCCGTGCTCGTTGATGAACTTTAGACTTGGCTAATGCTTTCCTTTCCCCGGGTGTAAATAGCAGGGGGGAATTAGTACCCTTGCACGGCGCTTCACCCCGTCGGCTCGGGGATTAATAAGGTAAGGCGGTGTTTGTCTTGTTTTACTGGACAAACTCAACTTCTTTGCTCCCTGTGACTTTTTTGTAAATTTCAAAAGCATTTTGAGAAAAACAAGGCGAATTAATTTTTAAAAGAAAGAATTAAAAGCGCCGACGTTAACGCAGGTAACTTTGTTATAAATACTGATGTATTGCTCGCTCTATGCGTAATTGCTTTATTATAAAGCTGATCGTTACCTATATATTAAATGAAAAATTAAAAGACAGCATATAATTTCAGTGCATCCTTACTGATTACCCTTTTATATAACATTAATATTTTTAAATAAAAAAGAAGACAAAGTTATTTAATTGAATGGGAGAATTTGAAATCATTTTATTTGAAACTCAGAGTTTTTTTATAAAGGCAGTTTAGCTTTACCTAAAGAACATTTTAAAACGTAGTTTGCGAAGCCTTTGTGGTTGAAGTTTATCTTAAATTGAAGGTTAAATTACGTACCGTACAACGGTACATGCCTGCATATATATGTTTGGTAATTGATAATTTTCTAATTAAAAGTGATATTTTTAGGGAATTTTTCATTTGGAAAAATAATTGTAAAAAATTATCATGTTACCACAACAGCTACGTTAAATACTTCATGTTTGGAAAATACAATGGTTTTGTCAGCAAGGCGAGGGTTTCTGCATGCATGTATTTTCTAGTAGTTTACTATAAGTCGTTCCTTCAGTGACAGTGGCGTAGCTAGCGAAATTTGACTAGTCGTGCTCTAAGACCCACACATTCTAGGGGTATCCGGGGGCATGCTCCCCCGGGAAATTTTGAATTTTAGAAGTCTGGAATGGCCATTTCCTGCGATTTCACGGCGAAATACTCCAAAAGCAACATCAAAAAATTGTGTGATTAGATGAAAATTTTTGATAAATTTTTTAAAAAAAATTTTTGTAACTTTTTAAAATCCATGCAATTTTTTTATCATATTTCACTATATATTTTTCAACTTAACTGAAAATGTAGCTAAATATAGTGAAGTCACGAAAGAGGAAAATATCATGTATACAATACGCGTGTGTCAGTACGATCTTTCACTTGATCAACACATAATCCAACCTCACATAATCAACAATTGCGCGACTATTATACTGTTGAACACACAGCGTTTTATACACTATAACGCTACTGCTAGCATTCGTGTTAAACTTTATATAATGGAGTGGTATCAACTACAGATCACTACGCCTGGCACTCCGAATGTAATTCAGTACGCTATGCCTATGGTATTAATGGCCAAATAACAATCTACATAAACAGTGTGAATTGGTACAGTATATATCATTTTTAAAATTAAACTCCATATAAGTGCTCGTTTCAAATGTATACAAAGCAGATGAACTGGCAGTAAATATTACGTTCTTACAATTATATCAATACGGCAGGCTTCACAAATGAAGTTTGTATTCCCCATATTGTATTATAAAAATACACAATCATTAATCGAGTCTGTTCACATGCATTTCGTGAGCTAAATATCTTAATTATATCAAAATCACATTGGGCTTCCACGATCGTTGATTTCCATATTCATAACTTGAATAATCTCGACAGAGTTAGTAA